ATGAAAACGGTCATAAGCAGCATCATAAGTCATTCCCAAAGGCGTGTAAACCCTCCTTTGCCTTTGGAATCTTTGAGGAGGAGCATTAAGGGCCAGCACATCATTGATATTGATATTATTGGTAGCGTTATTGGGCTTAGAAGTTAAAGAAGAAGGAGTGTCGTTCTTCTTGTTTTTCCAAGTGTTGTTATTATTGTTGCTACCAACAGAATTCATTAGTTCATCCTCGATATTGATTCCAATATCGTATACAGCTTCAAAGGTACTCAGAGGCAGAAACTTCAAGTGTTGCTTGTACTTATGAGTCAGATTGGCAATGAACAAGCAAACCATTTCTTTCTCCTTGGGGGGATCCACCGGGAGCGCAACTGTTTCCCTCCACCTGCTTAAGTAAGTGGTGAAGCCTTCATTCTCTTTCTGTTTGAGAATGAAGAGTTCATGTTCAGAAGTATTGGCCTGGATGTTACATTTGTAACGATTCATAAAGCTTTCAGCAACATCCTCCCAGGTCGCGACATGCTTGGATTCCAAAGAATAGAACCACTGTTGACAGACATGTTCTAAGGAAAGAGGGAACACTGAGGGAAGAGTGTCACATCTACTCCCTTAAGAGCCATAGTCGCAGAAAAAGCCTTCAAATGGAACAGCGGATTAACAATAGGCTTGAATTTGGGAATGTCAGCAGTGGAAAACTTCTCAGGAAGCTTGTCTCTTATGGACGAAGAGGTGATAGGTTGTTCCACATAAGTGAACTCTTCAGAAATCTTGCTCATCTGTTCCTTAATCTTGTCCATTGCAGCAGTAGTGACATTGTTCTGGTTTTCTTGTTCTACAGTGCTGACTCTAGTGGTGAGTGTCTGCATCATGTCAGACAATCTTTCGATTGTCCTGTTGAGGTTCTCAATGTCTTCCTTAGTGGCCATTGGTTGAAAGTAGACCGGAGATGGATCTTGTGGAGATGATTGAGGTGGTTTCCTTGTACGCCTCTTTGGTATAAGAGGTTGTTGAGGTATGGACTTGAACCGTAACAATCTACCCCTGCTTCTTGACCAAGTGCTGTGACACCGAAATAAACACACCTTTAATGACCACACTTAACCTTAACCTATCCGAATTAAAAAGAAAAGAAAATTTTTTATTTATGAAAAATCTATAATTTTGAAACTCTACTTAAAAAAAATACATAGGAGGATACCATCCGACTTACTTTCCGAAAAAAAAAACGACACAAAAACGATACGGTCAAAAAGTGGTGCACGACTAAAAAAAAAGTGTGTGAACACGATATGTGAGTGATTAAGTGAGGTTATAGACGCGTGTTTTGACCGTATAGCTAGACACGACACAAAACTGGACACAGCATTCGCACAAAAATCGAAAAAAAGACTAACAGGACACTTTCCTGGGCACCGTGTCACGGTGCAGACTGTCGTGACACGGTGCAGTCTACCGTCATACGGTAGACAGCCCCGTGTCACGGCACTGTTCACTGTGGCGCGGAAGAACATGCCGTGACACGGTGCGCAGTTCCAGGTCAGTTTTGTGATATTTCCAAATTTAACCGATTTTAGGTCCGTACTAATTACCATGTAAAAAAACCCTCGATCATGGGTTAAACAAAAGAGCAAACACATGATGGTTAGTACCAAACAACCACATAGCATTTAGGCACGATGATGTAACAAAAAAAGTTCGCAACCTAGGGTCAAGATCTATGTTCAACTATTGGTCAAGCTTTGGGTGTCAAAAGGGTACCATGGTTAAGAGTTTGGACGCGTTAGCAAGGCAGCCTCCCTTGAGGGTGTATGCCAACGGGCGGCTCCGCGAGTTCGTGATGAAATCAAACTCGACTCCATGGTTTGGGTGGATTTAATAACTCGGATGAAGCCTTATTGCCATGAGCGTTTTTAAGTCGATAGAGCTTAAATCCCCCGAGGCTAAGACGCATGTAGAACACATACGTTTTTTCAGAAAAATCGAAGGAAGTCGAATGTGAGGAAAGAAAATAAGCCATCGGACTGATTTTAGGACTGTCGTGACACGGCAAAAGTTCCCGTGTCACGGTACCGTGCACCGTCAGACGGTGCACTGTACCATGACACGGCAGTCAGAAAATCTGACTGGTGCCCTATTTTCCTTCGCGTGCAACCAAGTTATCCAATTTTTCTTACGGGACAGACCTGAATGTGACGTTAAAACGTCTATGCAGATGCAAAAAAATACCAAATTAATCACATGAATATTTTTTCAAGAATCTTTCAAGTCTCATCCACTCATCTTAATTAAATACCGATCACGCAAATCGATAAATAATTAAGAATCCTCCCCAGTGGAGTCGCCAAATTGTAGGCGTCGTTTGAAGTGCGCCTACGTTAAAAGCATGTGTGAATATGCTTGGCACTCATAGGAAGTGGGAATTGACATAATACGATTAGGGACAAGGAAAGTAGGGAGCCGCCAACAAGTTTTTAAGGAACTTGTAAACCGTTCACGGATCATAAAAGGCAACCACGAAAAGGGACAACGATAGGCAACAACGATTGACCCGTGAAGGTTACACCCCATTCATAATCCATGAGATTACTAACTCCATATGGTTCGGAACCACGAAAGGAGGATCGGGGATGATGGTACAAAGTGAGTCATGGAGTCACATTCGTCCGTATTGGCCTCTACTCGATTCTTATATTGAAAAGCATTCCAGTGATCTCAAAGGCATACAAACAAAATATTCAATTCGCTCCAAACTATTATTTAACTAAATTGGTTGAATATTACTGCACACATAATTCTAAAATATTGGTGATCATTTCAATTAATAATAAGATTAAGAGGGATCCTAAACCGGTTGTCCAAATTATCTTATTAGGCGTGATTTTCAATTACATATTTCCTTTAAACATGTAATATGGTGATCAATAAAAATAATAGAATAACATTAATATTAAAACCAATTTAATCACAATTCCAACAACAAAAAATCGTTAGAAAAATAATAAAAACAAAAGGAGCATGACTCTTACTTTGATTCTGTTTGTTTGCAACTACAAAATAATAAACGAGTTAGTAACTTCAAGGAAATAAACAAACAATAATTAAATTAAATTAAATAAGGTAAAGTTGATTTTGGAGCCAAACCCTCAAACAATTCTACCTTTCACGCCTTGGCTTAAGGACAGAACCACGAGTAAAATATGGACTCCTTTGAGTGCTTGAAGAAGGAATTTTGAAGTGAAAAGGAGTAGGCTAGTGTTTAGGCTAAAACATAGAAAAGAGAAAATAAAATAAGAGAATTATTTGGTGCCTCGTTCATCAGAAATGAGGGGGTATTTATAAGGAAAATGTGCTGAGGGAGCACACGAAACCCTAAAATGATAAAAACCCTAAAAAAGTATCCCGTGACACGGTCAAACTGTACCGTGACACGGGAAGCTCCACCGTCAGACGGTACACTTTCCCGTGACACGGTACATTTTTGGTGTGACGCGGGAAATTTTCAGAAAACGGGATAAAAAACGCGTTAAGGGTTTACGCGGAAAAGACACGGAATGTCCCGTGTCACGGAAGACCTCCCGTGTCACGGGATATCCTACCGTCAGACGGGGAGGATTCCCGTGACACGGTAGGTACCTGCCGTGGCGTGGGAAATTCTAGCCCGTTTTTTCGTCTAAATACATTTTTAACCCTAATTTCCTTCGGCATTTTAAGTGCCGATTGATAATTTCGGGCCTTTTCTGACTTTTTATTATTCGGGCTAAAATAAGAAAATAATTAAATAAAAATAAATAAAGGGTTTGGGCCAAAAATAAATAATAAAACAATAAAATAAAAAAGGTTTGGGCTAAAAATTAATTAATAAGTTTGGGCTGAAATTAAAACTATGCTTTTACCAATCATCAAGACTAATCCATGGATTGTTCAAAAATATGAATTTAATAAAATACACTTTTTTAAGCACCCTCGGGATTAAATACTAAACCCGACCAATAGTGGCGGTGAAAGGTTGTTCATCATCGGGTTTGGTTTTGGGGAGACATTTTTAGATGTCTACAACAACAAAATAAACTAAATTCATAAGTGATAGAGAATGGAGGAGAAAAATGGAGAGGAAGAACACTAAAAGAGACGACAGTAGTAGGAGATTTGTGTTCATTATCCCTCTGATATGGTGAATGGATTACACAGTTAGAATGACTTGAATCAATTACATTCGCAGTCAATACAAATACATTAGCTTGAATTAAGGACGAGTGTTTGTTAAAGTAGCAGTTGAGTAGATGTAACCTTACAAAGTATAGGAAAAATAACCAAAAGCTACTTCTACTAAAAAAAGTTTAGTTTATGCCGTATTATAAAGGGTTAGCTTATTTCAAAAGATTATTGTATTACTTACGGAGTATTCCATAAATAAGATTTGAGTTGGAAATCTCAACACTAACCTGACCTGCTTAATACGAGTAAACATGATGTGTTGTATTGATCCATTGAATCAAATGGGTCGTAAACCCTGGACACTAAGTCACTAGCCCCTCTTTTCGTGTCTGATTCATGTCGTATTATGTTGTGTCAACTTTCACTCTCTCTAATTAAGGGTTCGTTTGGCATTGCTTTGGTTTTCTGTTTTTTGGTTTTTTGTTTTTTAAAAGTATATGATATATGTCCCATAATGAATCAAAAATTATTTAAACATATAAAAATCATAATAATTTTAAAAACTGACAACAAAAAAGTGGAAACACCTTTTTCTTGTTTCCTGTTTTTGGTTTTTGGTTTTCAAAAAAACAGGAAACTGAAAACCAAAAATGATGCCAAACAAACCCTAAATGTTTTGTTTTTTGGACTTATTTTCAGTTTAGTTCAGTTCAAGTCGTTTTAATCTAATTTAATTCAATTTGGTTCATTTTGATTCAATTCTATTCAGTTCGTTTTAGTTTAATTCAATTAAGTTCCCGTCGTTTCAATTCAGTTCAGTTAAAACGAAACGGGCCTAAGATCACCCCTCCGTACCAAAACTTCACACTCTATGCAACACCCACACGGCCACACTTCAATGGTGAACATAACCACCTCTCTCTAAAACCCTAAACCACCCCATCTCTCAATTTCCCACCTCTTTCTCTCTCCTCCACAAGTCCACAACCATGATGTACGGTGAACCTCCACCCCCACCACCACCGCAGCAACAACAACAACAACCCCAACAACAACAGCAACAACACCAGCACCAGCACCAGCACCAGCACCAGCATCAACACCAGCACCAACCACCGCCGCATCACATGCAACACCCACCACCGCCATACATGCAGCATCCTCCGCCGCAGTACCAGCAGCACCCGCCGCTTCCTCCGCAGCACCAACAGCCTCCTGGAATGGACTTTCACCGGGGCCCACCACCTCCTCCTCCTCCTACTATGATGCGACAGTCTTCTGCTTCTTCTACTAATCTCCCTCCTCCTCCCGATTTTCCTCACCCTCAACAATCTCCTTATGAATGTAATCTCTCTTCCCAATTTGTTTTTTGTCTTTAGTTTTGTTTTTTGGGGTGAATTGTAGTGTAGGATAAAGGGTAGCAATGTGGTTTGATTTTCGAGATTCGGGTGATCAAATTTAGGAATTGGGGGTTTAAGGGATTGATTGAATTGTTTGTTCAATTGTTAGATTAATGAGTTGTTTATCTGGTTTCATTGTTTGGAAGAGTTTTCGAAATTGTTGTGGCATTAGTTTTATGTTTCTGGGCATTATTTTTAGAGTTAGACTGTAAGGGAAGTAAAGTTGTTTGATTTTCGAGATTTGGGTGATCAAATTTATGAATTGGGGGGTTAGGGGATTGTCAATTGTTTGATTGACGAATTGTTTATCCAGTTTTGTTGTTTGGAAGAGTTTTTGAAGTTTTTGTGGCATTAGTTTTATGTTTTTGGCCATTATGTTTAGAATTAGACTGTCAAGTTTGATTTTTGGTGAACTGTAGTGTGGGGAAGCAATGTCGATAGATTTTTGAGATTTGAGTGATTAAATTATGAATTGGGGGTTTAAGAGGTTGTTTATTGTGGGATTGGTTGAGTTGTTTGATTAATTGAATTGTTTGTCTAGTTTTATTGTTTTAAAGAGCATTCAAAATTATTGTGGCATTAGTTTTATGTTTCTGGGCATTATGTTTAGAGTTAGACTGTCAAGTTTGTTTTTTGGCGAATTGTAGTGTAGGGTAGCAATGTCGTTTGATTTTCGAGATTTGGGTGATCAAATTTATGAATTAAGGGGTTAGGGGATTGTTTGATGTGGAATTGGTTGAATTGTTAGGTTAATTGTTAGATTAATGAGTTGTTTATCTAGTTTTGTTGTTTGGAAAAGTCTTTGAAATTGTTGTGGCATTAGTTTTATGTTTCTGGGCATTATGTTTAGAATTAGACTGTCAAGTTTGATTTTTGGCAAATTGTAGTGTAGGGAAGAATGTCGTTTGATTTTCGAGATTTGGGTGATTAAATTTATGAATTAAGGGGTTAGGGGATTGTTTGATGTGGGATTGGTTGAATTGTTAGGTTAATTGTTAGATTAATGAGTTGTTTATCTAGTTTTGCTGTTTGGAAGAGTTTTCGAAATTGTTGTGGCATTAGTTATATGTTTTTGGGCATTATGTTTAGAATTAGACTGTCAAGTTTTATTTTTGGTGAATTGTAGTGTAGGGAAGCAATGTCAGTTTGATTTTCAAGATTTGAGTGATTAAATTTATGAATGGGGGGTTTGAGGGATTGTTTATTGTGGGATTGGTTGAGTTGTTTGGTTAATTGTTAGATAAATTGAATTGTTAATGACTGTATGGAGGCCTTGGAGGGTTTCAAAAATGTTGTGGCATAAAGTTTATGTTTTTCAAAATTATGTTTGGAATCAGACGGTCAAGTTTAGTTCAATTGTTGCTGATTTTTTGATTGAGTATTTCCCTGCATTTAAATAGATTATGTAGGAACAACCCTGCATGTGCTTGCTGACCATTTTCTTTTAAAAGCAAAATGCAATTTTCACCCACCCTCTAAGAAGGTAATTTGTCTCCACCGACCACCGCATTTCCCCACCTATAATAATAGATTATGATTACAGTGCTAGGTGGTGGATAAATTTTGCGGACATTGTGAGTTTCTGGATTAGTGTCCTTGGATTGGGATTTATAAATGAGATGAGATTTAGGGAACTAATTTAATGAACATAGTACATGAAGAGGCTTATGATGTATAAAAATTTTATTATTGTAGGAAATCTGATTACTTTTTTTTATTTGAGACCTTTAGGGATAGTCTTGGTGATATACTTGTTCTGCAGAGAGTGTTACTGAATAAAGCTGAAGTGATCACTTCTTTTCTGATTTGCTTTGTGTAGCTCATGCTGATAGTTATGCTGCAAAACGGATGAGAAAGCTTACACAAAGACGAGCTGTGGACTATACAAGTACAATTGTCCGATATCTTCAGGTATTGAATACGGAGTATAGTTCAAGTAATGCATCTCCAATTGACATGGCAGGAGCTTCTGCATTTTGATTATTTGGACCTTCAGCCGTAATATCATCTGAGCTCCTAGGCAATGTCCTGGTTTTTCATATGGCAGTGTTTGGGTACAAGGATATAAATTGATTTTATTAAATTCACTATCTTGAATCTTAATTTCAAAAATTAGTATCAAATGCACTGTTTGGAACTTTTTAGATTTCACATCCTGAATTTTCAACTTATATCATGATGTTTAGAAGTTAAAAGTTTTATTTTGAAATTGAAAACAACTGCTAGTGAAATTATTTGATTAATCAACACTGGAGGCAAATGTATACTTGATAGTGATATACATGCATCTACTATCTTTGCTACCAAATCACAGAAGTGGTATCTAATTCAGAATCTCTCATTTACAGCCCTTACAGCATTACACCAAAATAATACCAATGGAATGAAATTGTTTCTTTCTGCCTCTATTTGAGCTGTTTCTTACAACTTGTCAATTGATTTCTGAAGAAAGATTAGGCTTTTTTTATTTTTATTTTTAAATTTATTTATTTATTTTTATTTGGTTTATTTTAAAAGATTTTCTCTTGAAGAATGGAGACTAGATCTTTCTTTAGGAATTTGATAGGTTTTTCCATCGCTTATTTTTTAAGCTCTTAAATTGTTCTTCTCAAAGAATGTAATAGATTTCCCAAGGAATATAATAAGATTAAAACATAATTCTCTGCTTGCATATTTCTGTCCTCAAACTATGCTTCGTTGCTTCTTGTCTTAGTTGTGACTTGTGAGTCTTGTGACGGTGCTTGCAGTGACATATCAAGGTGTGTTCTACACCTGGAGAGATTGAAGAGTTAGGAGAATATAATGATGAAGGTGAAGCAAAAGATAATGACGTAGATTAAAATGTTTTTTCTTTTTTTTTTGGGTTTTGATACTCGTTTATGCAGGTTTTGAATTACTGCAATATCTTATGTCATTAGCTATGCAAGCATGATTACATGTATGTTTTGCAGTAGGTTATATCACGTATCTGTGTTTATATGTAGGCTGTCACCTAGGCTATGACATTTTGATTTGTATATAGGACTTCCTCTTTATGTTATTGTTGGATGTGCATTGAACTGCAGTATATTTGTGGAATTTTTTCCTGGTTTGAATTACTGATCACTCATTGAAGTGTTTTAAGCTGAAAATTTTGATACTTCTTGCCCTGTCTTAAAGTTTCTTATACTTATGGTTACTAGTGTAGATTTTCTGAACGAAAATTCTTTTTATACCTGTTATTTACAGGTTCGTATGTGGCAGCGGGATTCAAGAGACCGAACGATATTGCAACCTACTCCTGCTGCTGCTGTTGATGTGAGTGGCCTCTTTGCAATTTTTTTCCCCCTAAAAATGAATTTATAGTATACATCCTCCACTGTTTAAAGCTCGCAACTTTTGACTTTTTCAATTCTCAATGCACAAATTTGAGATTTTTGACTGTTACTATCTTTAATTGTCTTTCAACAATATACACAATAAATTAAATTAAAAACTAAACATTCAGACAAAACCAACAATTTTTTTTATTACTTAGTCTAATTGTAAGTTTGTTTATGAATAAAGCATAAAATTTGTATATATGTGCTTAAGTTGAACTGTTGTGAGCTTTGAAAAATAGAAGAAATTATGCCTTGTTCATAAACAATCTGAATTTTCAAAATATTGTTCGGTTTCTATTAATTTCTAAATTGTTAACCTGCTAGAAATTGCATATTGGGAATGCTTTCTAGAAGTATGAAAGGGTTTCATTTTGTCAAATTCTTAGGCGCAGGATTATTTTTTTTTGTTTGTTCACATTGTTGTTTTCTTGTAACTGTTGGTGCAGTTGTTGCCACCAGCTGCTTATTCTGATAATCCATCAACAAGCTTTGCAGCAAAATTTGTTCACACATCTTTGAACAAAAACCGATGCTCTATTAATCGTGTTCTGGTAAGTTTGGAACTATTGTTGTTGGCTGTGTCATATACTATTGTTGTTGAGGGTTTGCTATGCTTCTTGCTACCTTTTATCTCAAAACGATTGGAAGTTTTAGGTTTCAAAGGACTTGGGAAGTAGTTGAAGTAGAGTTTTTCAATATATGCTTCTTGCAATTGTGTCATTTTTGGTGATGAAGTGGCTGCCCATTTTTGTTCAATGTGAATTATTATCCATCTTACTTACTTTTACACTGCGGCACTGCGCTGTGACTGGCTTATGATAATAGTGGACACCCAATGGAAGGCGTCTGATTACCGGCTCACAAAGTGGTGAATTTACTCTCTGGAATGGTCAGTCATTCAACTTTGAGATGATCCTTCAGGTATGTTTGATTGAAGTTGCAAATCTTTTTGTTTTGTGATTTAGAAGACAATTCTGACCCTGTAATGGTTTACTTTGTGGAGGCTCATGAACAAGCTGTCAGGTCTATGGTATGGAGTCATAATGAGAATTGGATGGTCACCGGGGATGATGGAGGCGCAATAAAGTAATGTATTTTTAATGGATTGTTTAAAATTTAATTGATATTTCTCACAGAATCTTTTAGCAATCTTGCAAATTCACTCTTTGTACTGGAATGAGTCTATTTAATGCATTTGATTGTTGACATGATGCTCCTAACTGCGCTTTTGCTAGGTATTGGCAGAACAATATGAACAATGTCAAGGCCAACAAATCTGGTCATAAAGAATCAGTGCGGGATCTGAGGTAATTATTTTAATATTTCTTTTACAGAGTTGGAGGTTGGAGTTTTGATTAATGTCTGTAATTTGGATTATGGTTGTGTAACAGCTTCTGCAGAACAGACCTGAAATTTTGCTCTTGCTCTGATGATACTACTGTAAAAGTTTGGGATTTTGCCAGGTGTCAAGAGGAGACTTCATTAATAGGTAATGTGCTTTGTGTATTTGTAGCTGGAAAATAATTTGCCAACTATGCCATGAACATGATATATTATTCAGTTTGGCTGCCTAAATTGTTTAGTTGAAATTGCCTTTAGCATATCTTTTTCCTTTTTCTCCTCTCCTCTCTTCAATATTGTACATTGTGCTTATTGTAACCTAAGACTGTTGCACTTGTGGCTTGAACTCAGGCAGGCCATGGTTGGGATGTGAAGAGTGTTGACTGGCACCCCACAAAGTCTTTATTAGTCTCAGGTGTGTAAGGCTGTTAGCTCTTTACTGCAAATTTGCCTATGCATACAAGATGTTTACATAGTTTTCTGCTCAGGTGGTAAAGATAACCTTGTGAAACTTTGGGACGCTAAGACTGGGAAGGAGCTGAGCTCATTGTATGTAAATGTGCACACTATTTGATTCTGTAACTATTCAAATTAAATAAATTAAGGTGTCTTGCTTTTAACTTTGCTTGTATTATTCAGTCATGGTCACAAGAACACTGTGCTTTGTGTCAAATGGAATGACAATGGCAACTGGGTACTAACTGCTTCCAAGGATCAAATTATCAAGGTATACACTATTCATTTTTGTTATCGTCTACATTTTTCTTCCTGAAGCATTTGGAGGCAGGGTGGTTAGGGTGAAGGATATGTGAAGAAATCAGTAATATAGCCTTTCCGTAATATGCTATCAAATTCTTGTGTATAGATTGACCTTGAATATTGTCATTTTTCTTGCAGCTGTATGACATAAGGGCTATGAAGGAGCTTGAATCATTTCGTGGCCACAGGAAGGACGTCACTGGTAGGGATAATGATATCTCGTGAAAATAAATGATTACCCCCTATAAAAAACGACTATTCCCTTTGTTGCCCATTGATCTTCCTACTTTCCATTTAGGTTTGCTTTCCATAGATCTTTCTACTTTCGCTTTTTATTACTGACTTAAACGTATGCACGGGATATAAATTTTATGAAAATACAATTTAGGAAGCTAATGAGGAAAGTTAATGGGATTGATACTTATACAGGAAGGTAATGTTGTTAAGGAATTTTGGGTTCCCAAAAAAGTAATTATAAATTTAGTGATACACATATTATTTGAAAAAATTAAAAGAACAAGGTAAAATTGATTGCACATAATTTGTTTATTGATTTTTTTAAAGGCTATTGTGAAAAGTTGGGAAATCATCATTTTTATTAATATATAGACATGGTAAATATTATCTCTCCGTCATCTTGCCTTACCCACCAAATGGGTTCACTCATACTGTTTAGTTATATTCATGTTTTGCACAAGTTACAACTTTCTCTTTCCTACAAAAAATTCAAACAAGGGACCTACTTTCCACGAATTCCCTCCTTCCCATGGTTTCCATTGCTACAGTAGATAGGAAGAAAAATGGAGAACCAAGGAAGTATTTGTAATGGACTCATACAGCTGCAAAATGATTCAGGATATCTCTTTAGAAGTTAAAATGACTTAATTTCATAGAACAATCTTTCTAAAATATGCTTTTATATACTTAAAAGATATGGTTTGAATTTTACATTCACCTTGTTTATTTTCTGGAATATCAGGCCTTTGTCATATGACTTGGAACATCCCAATATGGAAATCATACCCTGTAAAACGGGAGGAAGTATTATTCTTGTAGGAGATTAGTATGCTGATATTATAGATATGTTATGTGCAATAATTTCCAACTTGGGGAATAGGAAAACAATAGTACCAACTATGTACTACATTCGAGGCTTTGCTTCTGAAAGTTCTTTACGCTTTCCACTTTAGTCCATTCCTGAAAGTTCTCTACTCTTTTACTTTATTCCAGTTTTGGAAACATCTTTTGATTCGTTCTGTCATACTTTTTCCAACAATTTATTAAATCACCCACTTCTTTACACTCTCTTACTTTTCCACTTTTTCTTACACTCACCTTTTTACACACTCTCCCTACTCTGTCCTCCTTTTTCTTGCACCCACTCGCTACATCAACACACTCTCACTAATTACATTAATTTGTGTGCAAATAGTAACTGTAAAGAACTTTCGGGATTGGAAGTAGTATTCTTTTTCATTAATACTCACTACCTGTGGAATACTTTTAAAAATCAATGTCATGGAAGAATAGAATAACTGCTATGTGATTTTTTTCTAACTCTTCAAAAGTGTTGGCCTCATTTGACATGTCTGTTTGCGTTCTGTTATATTTTGAGGATCAAACCCAAGTTTCTGTATTTGTGTTAACGGTTAAAAGAAATATCAGTTGGAAAAAAAAAACTCTTCTACTATTTACTATTTTTGGCAAGTACAGTTTACCATCTGACTCTTTTTCCTCACAACATTTACTCCTTTTTACTCTCGCCTACTCCATCCACCTTTTCACATCCTATCGCTTACATTTTATCCACATCTTTTGTACACCCTGTTCATTTATCCTGGAAAAAGTAAACGAGTAAAATAAATAATCAAGGGAGTATTTGTATAAGCCATAAACATCCTCCTAGAAAAGTATTCTAGCTAGTTGGTAGGCAACCCAAATCAGACATGTAGTCAGGAGCTCAAATCTTGTGAAGATTGATTTCCTTATATTTTTTAATTTATCTATTATGCCTTGGTAGCTTTTGAAAATTTTATTTTACTTTTTAAAAAATTGAATGTACAAGTAGTTCATCTCCCACACACAACTGAAATAATTCTGGTTCTGCTGCTTGGCTTGGTTGGAGTCAGCCTTTCAATAAAAAGCCTACATGTCAACCACCCATTTATGTTTAAACAAATTTAGGAAGACCTCTCATGAAAAGCTTAGTCACCCACCCATTATTTTTTTCTCTCTACTTTCACTTGCATGGTCCTTGTTCTTTGAATTGATTGCAAAACTAATGTTATTGAAGGTTTATTCCTCTTTGTTTCTCCTCTTCCTCTTACCAGCATTGGCGTGGCATCCATTTCATGAAGATTACTTTGTCAGTGGAAGTTATGATGGCTCCATTTTCCATTGGCTTGTTGGGTAATATCTTTTTCTCTTAAATAATAATTTTGCTACTTTCACCTTCACTTGATTAGTTGGAGAGAGAGAGAGAGAGAGAGAGGGGGGGGGGGGGGGGGGAGAGACAACAGCTTCTTAGGCTAAATTTAGAGGAAAGTTGGCCAATTTCAAACAGCCAACTGAGATTAGGATCAATTTTATTCATAAAAGCATAATTAAATAAGAGAACCGTAAAAAAAAAAAAAATAACATAAGGGAACCATCAAAGAAAATTTAAACAATGGAGGAAGGAGAAGAGTTAAAATTATATGGAAAAGAAAGAAAGGGGACAATAATAGTTTTAGTACAGCACATAACAGTGATTATAGGCTTATAGCTAATGAACGAGGGTTTTGTTCTGTTGTTCCCCAGCTTTGTTTTTTTTTTTTTTTTTTTTTTTTAAAAAAAAAGGATTAAATCTCAAAATTGTTCAAATATCTTGAACAATGTGTTTTTAAATTTTAATTTATGTAGTTTTTTGTTCCTATAAGAATCAGCCAAAGGCTCTTTTTTGTTCCTAAAAGCATTAGCCAAGGGCTCTATTTTGTGTGTGGCTTTGCTAAAAGGCTGCTTTTCTATCTGATGATGGAATTCCATTTTGAAATTAAGGACTGCCGCTTTATTGTTATTGGCAATCTACTAGGTGGAAATTTTCCTGTAATTGGGATCTGATAAACTTCCCTACGATACAATCCAAAGGATTTTATTCTGGTGATTGAATATTAGTCATACAATAAGTAAATTATTTTAAAAATATTTTTGACTAAGTGATATGTATTTAGCAGGTCAAATTCTTATTGCTAATGATAAATTAATCTCATTCTCTGCTATGACATGCTGAGTGCAGGCATGAGACTCCACAAATTGAAGTTCCAAATGCCCATGATAATGCTGTGTGGGACCTCGCTTGGCATCCTGCTGGATATATTTTGTGCAGGTTAGTTTAATCTCCTAGATGAACAGGATTACATGATTGTGGAATATCTGTATGTTGATTAGTTATTATTACTCCATCTATCCCAGATAAATTGAAACCTTTATCTCTCTAGGATGTCCTACATTAATTGAATCATACCTTATTTTATTAGTTTCTTTTTTTCAATAAAGTTCATGGCTTGCTGCCCATATCCCCGTATTATCTCTACTTTTTTTTTTACCTCTTTAATCTCCATGACATTTTCCTATGTTATATGTTATACAATATATATTGGATGAGGGGAGTAACAGATAAGAATGTGGGTGGGGGATGTGGTGTGAATGCACGCAGCTATAGTGCTGTAAGTTTAAAGGGGGGACAAAAAACGGGAAAGAGAATCAGGGACCTTTATCACGTATGTGTTATTGGTTTGTTAAATTTTTTTTTCCAGGATGGAATCATTCCAAATGGTTCTATACTTGCAATTCCTTAACATCCTCACCACCCCCAATCCACCTTAAACATCACCCCCAATCCACCTTCAACATCACCCCCAAAGCATAACCACATTAAAGCAATTTGCGGATTTGCCACACTGCTGCCAAAGCTATCCATGGTAGCCGTTCTTAGTTTTCTTCCCCCCATTTCTGCGGGAAGACTTCATCCTTAAATCCAGATCATAGTCAATAATTACTTTCACCACCTCCCAACCTCCTCTTTCTCCAACACCCATCCATCTTCAAAGAGAGAAAGATAAGATATGAAGGAGAGGCAGTAGCTGAGGAAAAACAAAGGAAGAAAATGATGTCTCCTTGGTTATGAACTATAAGATGGTTTTGAGTTTCAATTTTTAGATTTTTCTTTTTTTTTTTTTTTTTTTTTTTTTTGGGAGATAATATTCAACTAACATAAAAACATTTATGCAATTCCATTGGGATTCTGATTTGTTAAGAGAGAATGTGATTTCCTTTTCATGGCAGAAGTGGGAAAGTGGCAGTGATGATGGAAAATGGGTGGGTATAGCGAAGAAACTAAACTAATTGAAAGAGAATTGATATTTTTTTCTCTTTCTTCGTTCACTTTCTCATTATAAAAACTATGAGCTAAATAGACTGTTGGGACAATCCACCTGTTGAGGGTCAGAAACTTAAAGTGTGTGTTATATTCTTATTTCTTAGTGACGAGTGCTGGGCTGCTAGTCGTGTACAAGAAATGTGGTTTTGAGTTATGTTACTCGGAAGAGTCCGAGTAACATAGGTTTTGAGAGTGCCTAGAGGGTACCAACAAGAACATGAAAGGGGTATTTGGATGGCACTTTAATTGGAGATTGAAATAAATTGAATACATTGTCTTAATTTAGAAGAGATACGTGTTGATTAGCACCACCTGATCAATATTGAACCCTTTTTTTTTATTTGAATTTGGTGTAAAAGGATTATGAGTGTAAATACCCGCATAGTGAGGCTTATTTGACTTCTTAAAAATTGCTCACGAAAAAACATTGCCAGCACACAATATGCATACAACTTTAAAATATGAACTTGTCCATGCTCAAGAATCCACGCACATTCCCAACAAGCATGGTTTAAAGAGCTTCAAAACATAAAATAAAGTGTAGATTCCTTCAGGTTGATTATAACTCAATAAAAGGCAAATAAGATGCATTTATCAAGTGAGGGTGGAGACTGTGGGATTATTTTGACTTGAATTAATGCTAAGTCTTCAACTCTCATTATCTCATGTCTCTTGCCCAACCAGGGCAACCACCATCACCTAGAAGACATACTCCCCTATCTGGCCACTTCCACCCTCACAAGCACTTTCAGTTGTTTCCCTTGTGTAGCCGCCACCACCTAGATAGCAATTGTTGCAAAGGCTCTCTTTATCTCTCAATGTGGAACCCACTCCTTTATACGTCACCACTACCATCTCCCTCGCCTGTCCCAATGCTCTATCATCCCCTCTCCCCCTCTTTACATTGAACCTGCTTCTCTCACCAATATCCGCAACTTGAATTGCATTAAGGCTGTAGGTTTGGAACCAAGTGGTCAACTCTAACCATGAAATGGTTTGAGGCCTTCACCTACTCTCTTGCTGTATCCTCTCTCTCTTGAGGGAATCAAAATGAAGACATGGTGGTGGAGCGGATTCTAACTTGTTGGCTGCCTCTGTTCATTAGTCCTTTACTCTCCTCTCTAGTGACCATCTGCAAGTAAAAGACTTGGTGAAACTGCATGCATAAGTCCATGCACCTTGCTTTCTTACTTTTGATTATGAGATGCTACCTCGATTTCATAATCTTCTAAACATTTACAGTTTGCGTATGTGGATAGATGTAGCTGAATACCTCAAGAAAGACTGAAAGAAATATGTATATCTGACCAAATTTTTATATCTTTTGTTTTCCAAGAACGCAAATGAATTGACACCTTGTACATTCAAGAATAGTATGATGGAGACCCCAATTGGAGGATGATGACAGAATATTTCTGTTTCTTTTTTTTTTTTTTTTTGACACAGTGGTGACCAAACATTCATATTGGTGGAAGAGGGGGGGGGGGGAAGTGATTCTTTCCATTTTTACCTTTGTCTATTTTCAAGCTACATGGTTGATGGTACTAAGCCAATAGTCTTTGGTTTTCCTGCTTTCATACTCCCTCTACTCCATTGCCTGTTATAGTGTTAGTATGTAAACATATATAAAACCATGGGGTATGTAAATGTATACATAAGCATGGGGTACCCTATAGAAAGTTCTAATATCCTTTGAAAATGATTAATGACTACTCAGAGGTACAAAGAAACTGGACCTTATTAGGGAAGGCAAATAAACGACGCAGTATCCCAATCGTTACAATTGGTGTCACTTAAAGCTGGGGTACACAATTCTTAAGACAATTAAAAAAATTTCGAAAAATGACTGCAACATTCAATTTACCTATCATTGGATATCTATATTAAAACAGTAGCTTAACAAAAGAAGGCTTTTTCCCACCATTAAATAAGAACTTTATTACATTACAAAGCAGCAATGCAAATAATAGGTAATAGGCCTTACAAGATAACAAATGCCCAGAATCAAAAGACACCGAAGAAAACAGGAACAGATAGGTAAAAAAAGGCAGCAGCTTCGCCAAATGATTTATATTCTTCATCTCTTGTATAGTATGCAGTATCACTTTTTGAGCGGACTCAGAAAGGAATACCTTCAAATTTAGAATATTAGATCATTTTTTATCAGGGTTAATGTAATGGCAATAGGTCCAAAATTGAACTTCTGTATTTCTAGTTTCGCTCACTTGAGTTGCATTTGTTTGTTGGGAAAAAATCACTCATGTGAAACTTATTTATGCTTTAAGGGATTATATAGCTGATTCAAATTATGTAATGTTTGCTGCAGGCAATATTAATGTGCTTAACATCTCTAACCATTGTTTCCATTTCTTTGCAGTGGGAGCAATGATCACACGACAAAATTTTGGTGCAGAAATAGGCCGGGAGATACTGGTCGGGATAAGTTTAATGCTGGCTACAACCAAGGTTTTTACTTGGATTTTTGTTCTGCACGTTCTTTAGTGCTTTTTATTACCAAGACGATTCTAAATTTTTGGGGAACATGATGTCGTCACTCAGGCCTGTTCTCTTCACCTGATTTGTGTTGAAGTTTTTTTTTTTCTTTTTTTCCTAATGATCAAGCTGATTTTTAGTGTAGATTTTAATCGAATCATTAGAATAGTTTATAATACTAAGTTGTTGATTTTACTGATTGCAACTTGAGTTTATTGAACAAAAGCTCAAAACTGTTATTTAGTGAATAAAATTTATTTTTACTGTATTATTTTTGTAAGATTAAGAGAACATGTGCACACGGGTTTGACTTGGTGATTTCAGCTGGCCTCCTTTGGGGAGGGAGGGTGAAGTTGGTCGACACATATTTAATTTAATGTCATCAGTGCAATTAGTTTTAATTTTATGTATAAGCATGGATATATCAGCATTCTTGACCTGCGTGCTGCATTGTCTAATTTCTTTCCTTTCTTCTGCAGGCTACAGTGAACAAAATCCAGCTTTTGCAAATCGTGCAGCTGGGAATTTTACTATGCAGGAACAGCCGACAACACCGGGACCATTTCCTCCTGGACTGTCACGAAATGAGGGTACAATTCCTGGTGTAGGAGCTGTGATGCCACTTTCCATTCCGTCAGTTGATAATTCCCAGGGAGAGCAGAAGCAGGCTCATCCACCTCCTTTGCCACCAGGCCCCCATCCTTCTATGATGCCTCCCAATCAACCTCAATCATATCAACATAATCCTCAACAAATTCCACAACAAGGAATCCCCCAACAAATGCCTAATTTTCCACAGCCACCTCCAAATATGCCTCAGTTACAGCCTCCATCTCATATGCCGCTCCATCCACATCATCATATTCATCGGCCCCCTCCCCAAATGCCACCACATAATATGCCCTCTAACATCCCTTCTTCAATGCCTGGATCCATGCCGATGCCACCTACATCAGCTCAAATGCCAATTCCTGGTCCTATGGTAAAATTTCATGGACTTAACTATTGTGTACTTGGGTTGTTGACTTCATTGTTTTTGTATCCACTAGGATTTATGCTTTTATTAAGTTCAGTCAAGTGTGTTTCATTCCTAGTTTCCTCTTGGTTTTTTTTATGGGCTTTTGTTTATCCAATCTTTTGCTGATTTCTTAAAGGGAATAGGGTTTACATGGTTATCTCGTTCCTACTTTTAATGGGGATCTCATTATATGTTTTGACTATATCATTCTTCCTCTCCCACATTTCTTCTTGACGGGGATTGCTTGAAATGTTCTTTTGGTGACCTCTGTTGATCTTGTGTTTTGTTACAGGGAATGCAGAATGCTACAAATCAAATGGTGCCACAAATGCAGCAAGGGCATTACATGGGCATGAACCCTATGCAGTCAGGTCCCATGCCTAGTGGTGGAATGCCTTCCTCTGGAGGTTTCTCAAATGGCATGCCAAATATGCAGGGCCCACCAAGTACGAGTGGGCCACAAATGTATCCTCCTGCAGGAGCATTCAACCGTCCTCAAGGTGGACAAATGCCGATGATGCCTGGGCTTGGTCCTTATCAGGTACGTGTTTGAGATGCTGTTTATCTGTCAGCATTACCGCATTATATCATTTAGATTGTTGTTTTAATACTCAATTAAATTGGCATATTATAAATTCCCATTTTTTGCTAAAGGATATGTATTAAAATGGGAAATGTAATTGTGGTTATCTGAAATAATAGGAAGCTTACAAACCTTGTTGCTGCCAAGTGCAAAATTTTCTTCTGCGACTGATATGTTATATGATTAAGATGTTTATTTTTGTAACTGACAAATACTCTTCTAATAAAACTTAAGGGGTAGAACAAAATTGTGTTGCTTTAATTGCGAAAAAAAAAAAAAGAAAGAACAAACTGTATGGCCTAGTGAAATTATACCAAGACTCAATCTTCCTATTCCTTGCTGTGAAATGCAGCAAATTGACGAATTTACAATTAAAAATGTTTGTTTATTTCCTTCATTTAATTTCGTAAACTAAACTGTTCTCACTATGAATGGCAGCCTTCTAATCAAAGTGGTATGCCACAGCCTCCTCTACCACCTGGTCCACCTCCACAGCAAACACAACAATAGGCATATTGGTACGCACCTAAATTAGCATTGTTAATCATACCTGAGGACTTGGGAAGCATGCAGTTGCGGATTCATGGAGGTTGACCCGCCTCTGCATAATCTCGGGCAGATGGGTGAAGAGCAACCAGTGGTAGTTGATTCACCATGAACCTTTTGACTTGTATTTAGTCGGCGGATACAACTGATTGTATATGGATGAGATGGCTGTTAAACAAGTTTTGGTCTTCAAATATTTATGGTGCCTTTTTCATCTGTACTTGTACCTAGGGAATATCCATCCCTTAGTTGTAGAAAGCCCTTTCTTATTTGAGCTCTTTAGATTGGCAGAAATTAGTGTTTATTTTTTCAAAGAAAAAGCAAGTATTCTGAAATTGTTGTTTGAAGTGTAATTCTGCCAATTTACCCTTTTTTATCTTTTCATTTTGTTATGAAATCACTCACTACAGCAATTCAAAGCGATCGCATTCAAACCGTTTGATACCAAACCCTTAAGGCTTAATACAATTGGTCTAATAAGATAATACTGTACTTCATATGATAAAAATAAGAGTTGATAGCTAAGCTAAGGCCTATAGTAAGTAATAAGTTCAGAAAAAATCTAGGTAATATTATTATAACAAGTAAAAGTGAATCATTAAGCAGTAAAACTAATCCAACATTTGGTAGATAAACTGTAAATAAAATACCAGAAAGGTTAGCAGGGCCGTAGTAGACTCGTGGTTTGTAAATTGTTCTCATCTTATAATATCCTGTCTACTGTCTTTTTTTTCTTTGATTTTTTCTAAGCTATGCCCTCAAGGTTGTAGAGTTTCTAAGGTGTGTCCATACTTTTTCAAAATTACAAGTTGTGCCCTCCAACTTAAGTTGTTTAATTAACCGTACCCTATGACGTAAACTCGACGTTAGAATTGTAAATAAATAGGAAGTAATAAGAAGCGGATGAGAAAAAAGAATAAGAAATACGCCAAGAGCTTGACATATCAATGGTTGCTTTTAGAAGAAAGAAGAAAAGGCAGATGAGAAATTTTGGAAAAAAATGTTAAATGTTAACCTACTTATATAACTCTAACTCAATTTGGGCGTGAAATTTCTCTCCAAAGTGTAGTAATGAACCACTAACACAACTACTAACATTGGATTAACGTTATAGGATACGGTTGAATAAACACCTTAAGTTGGAGGGTATATCTTGTAATTTTAAAAAAGCATGGGTACACCTTAAAAACTCAATAACCTTGGGGCATAGCTTAGAAAAACCCTTTTTCTTTTAAATTTACAAATAAGGTGTACGGGAAGCCCCCTCCTATCAGAGGGAGGGGGGGGGGACAAGGTTCAAACTCCCGCCACACGGGGAAGGAGGAGGGGGGAATGGGGGACTAACCATCCGTCCATCTACTAGATCATGTCCTTTAATAGAAGGTGTATCCGTGTATATAGTAAATGTTAAAATTTAATACTCCATATTTGGATATACACAAGAACTTATTTTATTTATATCCCAGAAGTTAATATATCCCTACTTTACTAATATGGCAGTAGTTAAAAATCTTTGACCACATAGACAGTAGAATTACATGGAATTAGAGGAGTGTTTTGTTTCATACTACTTCGTATTACAATTGCCCTATCTTACTTATATAACATATTCCTACGATTAAAAAAATATAACTACTCCGTACTTTGTAATTGTCTTATCCACCTTAATTTTGTTAGAAAATTACGTGTTTTTTGGTTCCCTTTAATATTATTTGTGAGATGATTTAGAAAATTAGATTATAATTAAAGGAGGTAGTATATTTTGTAAGTATCAATTTTTATAATTTAATTTTTCTAAAAAATAATAATAATTGATAATCAATGTCGTGCATAATCATTTAAAAGGGGTGTTGTATGGATGATATAAGTGTATGAATAAGACAATTTCATGTTTAAGCGACAAACATAAGGGATGTGTTTCCGTACAAACAAGTACTCTACATGCTACCCTTCAAAAAAAAAAAAAAGTACTCTACATGCTATTAGATTTTACTGAACTGAAATTGTTTTTATTAATGTTTAGTTATATTTCTTCTTTAAGATTATTGATTTTTACAGAACTAAAATTATTTTAACTGAACTGAAAATATTTTTGAACTGAAATTATTTTTGCTGAATTGAACTTATTTTTACTGAACTGAAATAATTTTTACTATACATTATTTTATTTTTTTTGGGTGAAGTGACAGGGCCTAAGCATGACATTTTTAATTGACTTTATTTTTGAAGCCACATTTTTAATTGACTTAATTGATCATGAAACAATTTGGCTAGGGTAAGAAATACATTAGCCACCAAATTTCTTATTTCATCATTATTTAATAAAATTATGGAAAAGGCTATATGCATCCATTGATGCATATAAGAAGCTAAGAGTGAAAAAAATAGACATTACATAAACATTTATTACACCGATTTACATATAAATTGTTGATAAATTCTCAATGTACACTAAAAAGGATTAATATTAAATGGTTGCATATACCATTACCCTAAAATTATTGACTTAATCAATCAAAGAACTAACTTCCATTCACATCATGAAACAAAATGGTTAAGGTTATGATAAGTATTTGCCATCAAATTTCAATAGCTTCAAATTCTCTATCAAAATTTGCAAAGTACAATTGTCCATTTTAGCATGGATATGATAATTAAGATAATTTATGACAACGACTAGCACTTCCTCTATTGGTTTTTTAGTTGCACCATTTTTATCCTCAATATGTTTCGTATAACTATACCCATTCGTTTGATTATTTTTTATTTTTATTCTTTGGTAAAGGGTGTGATCCAACTAAACCTACACAATTTATGGCTCAAAGTAGAGGTGAAAAAGATCCGAGCTAGACCGGGCTTTAGCATCAAATTTCATGCCTAATCTCGCTTAATAGTGGCAGGCTTATCAGGTCAAAATTGGACTTTTCGAAATTAGGCTTATATAATACTTCCTCTGTTCTTTTTTACTTGACCTGTTTTTTTTATCACGCTTGCCAATGCAAAACTTTAACAATCAATAACTTTAATTCTTCATAAGTAACAATTATAAAAGTTGTATATTACGATAGTACTTATTGAGATGAATTAAAAAAATATCATATGAATATATATTTTTTCTTACATATCATTCACAAAAGACGGTCAAAGGAGAGGTGGTGAATAGTGCAAAAGTCAAAACGAGTCAAGTAAAAAAGAACGGAAGAAGTATGCATTTTATTGGACTGTGACAATTCGGGCGGGCCATAATCAATGACCTTTTTTTTTTGTTTGAAGAGAATGACCTCAACTTCAGAGTATTGGGGTAAAACATAGGTGAGTTTCCCACCATCTCTCTTAATTAATTATTCAATCAATTACACACATTCATTATATACAACCAAAAATACCAAAATTATACCTTAAAAAAAAGTACCAAAATTACAAAAAAAAAATAAAAATTGGACACAATAGGAGTATCAAAAATAGTCTCTAAACTCAATAATTCCAATCATTCACTATAAGTATTTACATCCCTATCAAATTTTTACATAATTAAGGTCCCCCCTAAAAATAAAAATAAAAACCCTATCATAAGAAATATCTTTTTTTAAAAAAAATCCTAATTTCGATTAAACTCACTTTATTATACCCAATTACAACACTGCGGTTCATAATCAATGAAAAAGGATGAAGGATAACCTAATTCCGGGCACAGAAAATAGTTATAGGTACCTAAGAATTAGCAATATCTTGAGCATATGTAAACATGACAGAAAGAAAACTGCATAAAGCTGCCCACACGAATGCCGCCACTCGCAACGACATGCTCAATCTCATCGCCATTGATGCTGCTTTTCTGCTCCTTAATTGCCCTGTTATTAAAACTAAATAAAACACAATTATATCGATAATCATAAATTAAAGAAAAACAATCAAACAATTCATGAAACTAATCAAAATAAAAATTTGATCTTGGTTTTTCAAAGTGTACCTGTATTACGAACAGAAAGTTGGAAGATTAAGGGAAGAAGTTGGAAATTTGGAGCACAGTGCAAAAAAAGGAAAAAGAAAAAAGAAAAAAAGTTGTTCGGTTTAATATGTAATAATGTAATGACGATTTTAATTTTTTTTTTTTATATATATATATATACGTATGTATTTATTGAATTACTTTTTTTATGAATTGTTTCCTTTATCTAGAGGATTGGGCTTTGATCAAATTTCACTAAAATTCTTATCCAATTAATTGGTCCCACGAGAAAGTATAAAGAGATAATTCAGCTACCAGCAGAGCATCTCCAATGGCAAGCTACAATGCTTTATTGCTTGCTTTTCCACATCAATTTCTAAGCTACAACACTTTTTAAGCAACAAATTATTCCAATGGTAAGCCACAACATATTGTACTTTGCAAAAAATAAAAATTTTAAAAAATAATAGATAATTATACACATGTTACAATATGAGTGGAGATTATTTGTCTCTTTTTCAATCAAGCATGTAGCTTGGTTGGGCTATAGTTGCTTGCATGTTGCTTAATTTTTTGTTCTCCAATGGTAAGCATGTAGCTAGAAATTTTATTTAAATTGCAAGCAAGTCCTTATAATGGAACTTTTGGAGATGCTTTAAGTTCCTCCAGTTTATTGGTGTTTAGCCCATTTAGTATTCAGAAAGGCGGATGATGAAAACAAAGGGGTGTTAAATACCAATTAGTCTAAGGTGCACCCTTGTGCACCTTAAATAGGTGTAACAGCGGCCCATAAATAAAAAAAAAGGCCCATAAGCCAAAAAAAAAGCCCTAAAACTAACTTCAAAACACGGTAACTACAATACACCCACCCACACCCAGTGTAACATCACTTTCCAAACTCAGAAATTGCTATTCTTCTTCTTATGATTTTCTCTCTCCTCTATTTCACTTTCTCTCTCCTCTATTTCATTTTCTCTCACTAAAAAACTGCAAAAACATCAATGGACATTAGAAAAGAAATGCAAAATCAACAGGATCCTTCCTAAAAAAGGCAATTTTTATGTAAATTTCACTTAATTTTGTTTGAATTTATATGATTATCACTTAATTTTGTTTGAATATTGTCCGATACTCTATTGTTCGAAATTATTTATTGGAATTGTAAAAAAAAATTAGTAAAATCAAACGGATACCTTATGTTCACATTCCGAAATGCATACTTTCATATTTTGAATTCTTATGTTCATATTTTGAATCCTTTTGTAAACTTTCTGAAATGCTTATATTCCCTTTCTAAATCCATTTATTCATATTTTTTGATATATATGTTCACCTTCTAAAATGCTTAATTATGTTCATACGCATTCAAAAATGAACCATTGCATATGTTCATATTTTGAATGCATATGTTCATACTATTAATACTTATGATGCATATGTTTCATAATCATATTATTTTTTATTTCTTCAATTTTTTATGCTCATAATTACATGTCTTATATTCATAATGATATTTTATATGTTCATAATGTAAATATTCATAGTAAATATTTGTTGTTCATAAATATTCTCATTAAGTCTTTTTATGCATATGTTCTCTTTTTTAAATGCATATGTTCATATTTTTTACGCATATGTTCATCTTTTAAATGGTTATATTCACTTTAAGGAAACCAATGCTTACGTTCATATTTTGAATTGTTATGTTTACTTTCTGAAATGCATATGTTCATATGTTTTATGCCTATGTTCACTTTTTGAAAATATAATGTTCACATTTAAGGGAACCTATGCATATGTTCATATTTTGCATGATTATGTTCATTGATAAAAAAAATGCAGAAAATCAGATGAAATTCATACATAGATGAAATTGATTGAAGCTAAAAAAAAAAAAAAACAATTCATATGAATTCAAAAAATCAGATAAACAACCAATTTCATATTGTAAAGAACATATTCAATCGTTAAATCGAAAAAACGAGAAAAATAAAAAAAAAAAAAAAAAAAAAAAAAAAAAAAAAAAAAAAGAGGAAAAACGAGTAAAAGAAGGAAGGATAAAAACAGAGTATAATTTGTGAATTCAAAGATTCATACAAATCTTAATCAATCGAAATTAAAGCACAAAATCGAAATTCACACAAAAATCATACTTAATAACTATTTATGTTGTAAGAAACAAATTCAATAAAAAAAGTGTAAAAAAGGGGGAAAGTTACCAAAAAAAAAAACAGAGGAGAGAAAAAATAAAAAACGAAGGAGAATAATAGAGGAGAAGAAAGCTAATGTTCACTTTCTGAAAAGCTAATGTTCATATTATGCTGTTATTACTTCTATTTATAGGTGCATGAGTGTGCACCTAAGAATATGTGGTTAAATACCGTCATCCAAAATTATCAAAACCGCCAACATTTAGTGTGAATGGGCAATCATGTCCTTAGTACTTCACCACTATCTTTCCTCTTGCCATCAATCACTAACACCTTGACACCACCACCACCCACACCACACTGACCGACGACTATCACCACTGCACTAGCGACCCACCACCTTCCCTCCTTTTTTTTATTTTTAAATTTCGGATTTTCAGGCAATCGCGGTAACCAAAGCCCAAAATCAATTACCGTGTATGGTAAACGGAGCCCAAAATCGGTTACCGTGCATGGTAACCGGAGCCCAAAATCGGTTACCGTGCATGGTAACCGGAGCCCAAAATCGGTTACCGTGCATGGTAACTGGTTTTGGGCTCCGGTTACCATAGAATCGATTAAGGTTCACGGTAACCGGAGCCCAAAATCGGTTATGGGCTCCGGTTACCATGCACGGTAACCGATTTTGGGCTCCGGTTACCACGCACAGTAATCAGTTTTGGGCTCCGGTTACCACGGTTGCCTAAAATAAATAAAACCACCACCTTCACGCCGACCAGTAAAGGTGGTGGGTTGTCATAGAGGGGGTGTGGTGGGTCATCGATCAAAAGGGGTTGTGATCGCCGGTTGGAAGGGGTTGTGGGTTGCCGGAAGGATGAAGGGATGGTGAAGTAGTAAGGGTATGATTGTCCATTCACACCAAATGTTGGCAGTGGTGATCATTTTTGTTGGCGGTGTTTAGCAATCCATAAAATGAATCCTAACATTAATCTCTAAATACATTGATTTTTATACATGAGCTTAAAGAAACTTTTTAGACATAGCTGATGTGCATTAGATATTGTACAAATTCAAATGACTTAACTTCTACAAATAGAATTAGTTTATGGATAGTTTACAGAATATAAGAAGTTATACCCCTAATAATATTACTCACCTACTCTAAATTAAAATGTTGTTTTTATAGGTTTTACGGAGTAATAGTACATAATTCTCTATATGAGGCCATATGATAAAATTAACCTAAATAAGTATTTTATGTTTTGAGTAAAATTTAAGAATTAATTTGGCATGTGAGGTGGAATTAAAGATCGTGTATAGATTAAGGCTCTGTTCACCGTATTTTCACTTGTATTAGAGTTAATAAGTTTAGACTAGGGTTATTAAGTTTAGATGAGATAAGTTCAGGAAAAATAAGTTCACATAAGTTGGGATAAAGGTTAATCACAGCTACCAAGTTTAATCTAATATATATAAATAAAGTAGGCCTTTTTTGGCAGCATTTGGCGCGCCACATAAGAAAAGGTATTATTTTGTCCAATGAAAAATTAGATTAATAATTTATTTTAGAATTAAAAAATTTACTCGCCACCTAAGCAAAAGTGACGAATAATATTTAAGAATTTTGACACATACGTAAAAACAATGAATAGAGAATACTTAAAATTTAAATTATTTTTAAAAACCAATAATTATCTTCTCTTAAAAAAAAAATAATAATTATCTATATGGATGCAAATTTTTAAACAAAAGTGATGAATGAAATTTTAAATTTTTGCCATGTAGGTAAAAACAACAAATAGTAATTTATTAGGATTTTATTTATTTAAGAACACTAAATTTTATCATTTTTATTTGTTCCAAAACTAAAAATTATCTTGGGAGCACCACATAAGAAAAAGTATATTTTCGACCAATTAAAAATTAGATTTCTATTTTATTTTAGAATTAAAAAAAATCACTCGCCACCTAAACAAAAGTGACGAATGAAAATTTAAATTTTTGCCACGCAGGTAAAAACGACGAATAGTAATTTATTAGGATTTTATTTATTTAAGAACACTAAATTTTATCATTTTTATTTGTTCAAAAACTAAAAATTATTTGTTGTGAAAAAAAAAACTAAAAATTATCTTTAGATATTAGGATTTATATTATTTAAAAAACTAAAAATTATATTTTAATATTTAAAAAATATAAATTATCATTTGATGTTAATAGTTTTATGTAAATATCTGATGATATGATACTTTCATACAAAATTTTAAAACTTATAATGCAAGAAAAAAAATTAAGAGATCACCAAAAAAAGATATTTATATACAAAATGTATATAAAAATTCGTGCATCGCACGCCACATAAGCAAAAGTACTATTTCGACCAATGAAAAATTAGACTTATATATTAATTTAGAATTTTAATTTTCAATCGCCATTTAAGAAAAAATTGACAAATGAAATTTGAGAATTGAAAACAAAAAATAGTAATTTAAGATTTAAAATATAAAAAAAATAACAAAAATTATCTTTTATATTATCTTTTACATTAGGATTTATACAAAGTATTATTTTAACAAATAATTAGAAATTAAAATATATATTTTGATTTAATGATTTTATCTAACTATTTGACGAATGAGATAATATTTATTTCAATTTATAAATTCAAGTTCGATATATACGTAAAATTTGAATAAGAATAATTTAAAAGTTAACAAAATATTTTACCTTAAATTAATGTTAAAATAAGAGAATAGAAAACAAAAACAAAAAATATTAAGAAATTACAAAAAAATACAAAATGAAATATTTAAAAACCGTGCATCGCACGGGCTTACATCTAGTTTATAACTAAAATAAGTTCTAATAAGGTTAGATAAGTTCAGATAAGATCAGATAAGTAAAAATCAGGTGAATAGAACAGGGGCAGATCTTGGTTATGTATCCATTCGCCATTAACACCCTATTTAGCATTCTTTATTGTGAAAGCTTTCATAAATGATGAAAAGGAAGCGGTAGAAAATAAAAAGTACTTGTACTGTAATTTTTTAACAATCAATTAAGAATTTGGAGCACTATTTACATCATTGTACTTCTATTGTTTAATCATGCAATTTCATTCTACCTAAACATATATATCTCTATTTGGAATAAATTTACCCTATTAATTCAATAATTCACATGATTTAGAAGGATTAAATCGTTACAATACTAGTTCAAATTACACCATCAACACGACGAAAACTCCAAGAACTTAAT